CTTCACCGGTGTTCCCACTCGCAGCTTGGGTGGCTCGGGTTTCCCCAGCTTTTCAGTGCTCGATCTGCTGCACTCGGCGGCGAAGTGGCCCCATTCCCCGCACCTTAGGTACAGTTGATCCCTGAGTGTTTCAGGCGGTCTTACTGGCTTCCCCTTCTGGGCCGGGTGAGGAGTTGGCTTTCCTCCCCGCCGCAGCGATGTCTAGGCGCAGAGTGTTTAGACGGCCCTCAGTGCTCTCTGCTTCCTGCATCCATGCCAGGAGGGCTATCGGATCCACCACGCGCAGGACCATTTCACGGATCTCATGATTCAGCCCCACCTGGTACAGCTCGGTCAAGACTTGGTCTGGCCAATTTTGGACCTTAGCTGCATGAAGTTTAAACTCTGATGAGTATTCCCTCACCGACCGCTTCCCCCTCAATGATCACTTCCCTGGTTTTAGGGTGCTCAGGAATTCCCTAGCCTTCCGGCCAGCATTCCGGTCCTCAAACTGGGCACGCAACGCCCACATAAAAGTGTCCACACTCACCAGCTCTGGGCCCCTCGCGTTGTGTAAGCCCATGTACCAAGTGGCCGCGGCCCCTCTCAAGTGAGCCGTGATTACATCTACTCGGCTGCTGTCATCTGGGAACAGGTGTCCCCATTTTTCCAAACGTCATCACCCAAACCACAAAGTAGGACAACTTTTCCGGGTCCCCATCGAAGGTCGCCTCGATTAGATCTTTTGGGCAGTGAAGGATGGGTCCCCTCGGGCTGTCTGGCCTGGGCACGGATGCTGGCTCGTCAGCGGGTCTGGGCGCTGGAACTACAGGCGGGCCCTGGCCCTTGGGGTGCTGGGACGGGGGGAGCCTCCTGAGGAGGTGGAGGGGCCGGCGCTGGTTGTGGCACCTCGCGCTCCGCTCAAAGACCCTGCAAATTCCTATCAATTTATCATCAGGGATAACACTCAACTGAGGTCTGTATTGTTTGTTGTGTGCTGCCCTTAGGAAAAGATTTTTTTATAATAGAATATTCTGTGTGACTTTGAAAACATTTGCTCTTTTCATCTGGGCCTAGATAAAAATGTTACCTGTAAGATAGGGTTATTTGCAGGAGCTGTCCAGAAGACAGAGTGACAACACAATAGTTCACTGGGCTGAGGTTCTTTAAGGAGCTGTGGATTGGCCAGAAATTCCCTTGTGGGCCCATCATTTGGCTTCCCCAGCTCCTCCCATATTTCTGCCAGCCCCAGAAGGCCTAGAGCTATACCAGGCAGCCATCAATGGCCAGGAGCTACACCAGGATACAGCGTCTCTGTCAGGACCCACAGTCAAACAACAGAGCACATGCTTCTTTGAAGGTTATACTTTATTGCCAGTACTATGGTAGCATAGACATAGTCACTGTTAGGAATAACTACTACAGAGAAAGGAAAGATATAGGGTATTCAAATGTACCCCCCCACACACCTATGGGCCAATCGGCCTGACTCCCGCGGACAGGAAGGAGGACCACAGCTGTTAGAGCCGAGGCTGGGAAACGAAACTAGTCACATGGTTAATTGATGGGAAGACACTACACAGTGAGAACGAGGAGGGAAGCAAAAAGAAAGGAATGCGGCAGCCACTGGCACACAGGTAATGAAAGCCAACCTGGGCCCATAAACAATATGGCAGCATAGCTGACAGCTTGTTCTTTAACCTAGAAAGAAGAAACAGAGCTGACTAGCAGTACATATGTAAAGGTAAAGGTTCCCTTGCTCGAATGCCAGTCAAATCCGACTCTAGGGTTGCGGTTCTCATCTCAGTTTCAAAGCCGAAGAGCCAGCACTGTCTGAAGACATTTCTGTGGTCATGTGGCCGGCGTGACTAAACCCCAAGGCGCACGGAGCACTGTTACCTTCCCACTGGGGTGGTACCTATTTATTTACTTGCAATTTCTTGCTTTCGAACAGCTAGGTTGGCAGGAGCTGGAACTAGAGACGGGATCTCACTCCGTCATGCGGCAACTCAGGTCTCAAACTGCTGAACTACCGACCTTCCACAGCCTGTAGTTCAGCATCTTAACCACTTGAGCCACCTTGTAGCACCTTAAAAGCCAGGACTTTTTTTCTGCCTAAGATCTTGGAGAGCTACTGCCAGTCAAAACAGAGCCAGATGGACCAGTGGTCTAACTTGGTATATGGCAGCCTCATGTAGGACATGAGCGCATGGGACATTCACCAGACATAGGGGATCTCAGTGTTACACTCAGGCACACATAACATTCCCTTGCAACTCAGTGTGAAATTGTTAGCAGCCTTGAAATTACTGAAAGTGGCATCGAAATATCGAAAATAAATTTTCAAAGTATGTTTTATTTTAAAGCACCCAAGCAAGGCTTTGGAGGGAGAATTTGAACATAAGGAGTTGTGGAAAGTCTTTAGCCTTTTTCCCCATCAGCCGTAGTGTTCCAAACTAGCCTTACCCTCTCCGAGGGGGAAAGATGCCGCTATAGCCAGTAAGGAAAGGTAGTCAGGGAATGTTATGTATCTACATATTTGTTTTTAAATTGAGCTTGACCCTTAGACTTAAACGTGTTTTTTTTAAAGGAATAATTTAAGGATTGTGGCCCTTATTGTAAAACATTTGATGTTCATAGAAAGGAACCCTAAATTTCTGTGTTTTACACTTCCTCCATCAGAAAACAGAACAGATACCCCTTATTTAGGACTTTAAAACTCCCAAGATGTTACGTTTCTGAACTGGCAGGTGCAGATGGAGAAGAGGATACATAAGGGAAACTACTAGGACACTTCAGATTGTCATTTTTGTGCACACACCAGCTAGAAAAATAGCCTGCCCGCTCCCACTGGCTCTGAGCCCCGGGATTCTACTTGCTATTCTGTATTTAAAACAAACAAATGAACAAACTAGCCCTTTGTCCTGGCAGACATACCTACCATCACTGCTGAAGATAGCACCAGGGTCTAAGAATCTTTCCCACCCCCATTCCTGGGATCCTTGTCACTGGAGTCCAAAGCATCAAGCCTCAAGGATTGGGACTTCCGGTTTATGGTGGCGTGCTAGCAGACTCACCTCCCGGACCTCCCGGGGGTGAAGCTGCGCTCCAGCCGAAGAAGGGGGTACGCAGGCTCGCAACCCTCCCCAGGGGCCCAGCGAAGGGACCCTGGCCATGGAACTTATAAGAGTTCGCCTCTTTGACGGCGGAATGCCGGAGAATTGAGGCACCTCTTTGTTCCGACAGTTCTCCGTGCTGTGAGACCGTATGGACTTAGTGACGCTGACCGGGACAAGCACAGGAGATCACGCAGCAGAAACGAAATGAAAGCGAGGTCGAATGACCAATTATGAACGTGAGTCAATTGCGAAGCATTTAAAGGGAAAAAGATAGCTCCCCACCGAACGGAAAAGAAAAAAAAATGAGCAGGGAGGGCGGAAGAAAACGCAAGGAAACTGCCTAGAAGTACTTACCAAAGTGAATCTAAGCGGTCAAGCGCACATTCAGAGACTATTAAAAGAATTGCGAAAGTAAACAAACGATAAAGATGGCGGGGAAGAAGGACAAAGAAAGACTTTTGAAAGCGAAAGGGTCTGAGAGCCCAAAACCGGAAGTTACCAGTGAGGTGGCAAAGTCTATAGCGGATTATATGCGCCCTCTGCTGGAACAGCTGAATAACTTCAAGGAACAGATGTCTGTAGTTACTCAAAGCATTACTGCACAACAAACCCAGATAAGCGATTTGATACAAATAATGAAGCAAGATGCTGAGAAAGTAAAGGAAGTGGCTGTAACTACACAGAAAGTGAAGAAGAAAGTGCAAAAGCTGGAAAGGAAACAAATCTCCATGGAAGATCAACTGTTACAAGTCCAAATGGAAAAGGCCAATATGATCCTTCTTTTCCAGGGCGTGCCAGAGAACAGAGGGGAGAATCTTAAAGAAGTGATGAGTGAACTGCTAGCCCCAGCGACAGAAACGAAGGCAGAATTGTTGCTTAATGATATGGATGTGGTCTATAGATCATATTCAGGTTACATAAAGAAAAATAATCTGCCTGGGGAAATTGTAGTAAGATTCTCGAAGAGGCATGTCAGGGATGCAATCCTGAAAGCGGTTGCTGGAACACCCCTGAAAGCAGGGGAAAACACCATCAGAATGTCACTTTCAAGATTAAAGACAAAAAAGAAAAGATTGACTCTGTTCTGAAAGCTCAAGAATTCCTAAGGGTGCAGCTGGGAAGGCCAGAGGACGGGAAAAAAAGAAGAAAGAAGAGGACAGTAAGTCCAGTGGCGAGCTAGACACTGGTTCTTCCGGAGAGGACTCTCTGTCTGAGCAAGGGGCAGCAGCCTCAAAAAGTCCTTACAAGCTGCGAAAGAGAAGGGGAAAGGAGAAGTAAAGGCTGAAGGACTCTGAAATGTGCCTTTGAGACTTTTGTTATGGGATGATTGGGGGTGCTGTTTCTAGACACTTAAACTTAAGCTTAAAAGGAAAAGTATTATAAATGTTTGACTCAGTTTATGAAGGGTTTAATGATGAGAAGACTTGATGTTACTAAGCTAGTTGGAGGGTCTCCTCTCTAGGGTTTTTAGTTAGTAGTGGGTTCTTTACTTTATCCCGTATATGTAGTTCCCCTCCCCTTTTTTCTGTTGTAGTTTTTGTAGTGATTAAAAAAAAAGCCTCAAGGATTGGGACCTTTTGACTCCCTGCTGTAGATTATTCCTCATCCCAGGACAACCAGAAGAAGAGAGGCAACTCCCCTAAAACCCTTGCAAAATTTCCCAGTTTGCATAAAGCCAGCATGATATAGTGGCTACTGTTGGACTAGGTCTGAATCTCCACTCTGCCATGGAAGCTCACTGGGTGACCTTGGGCCAGCCAGAGACTCTCAGGATAAAATGGAGAAGGGGGGATGAGGTCAGGTTCTTGAAGTCCCCATCAGGGGGAAAGCAGGATACAAATGAAGTAAATAAAATAAGTTCCAGTTCTTCTACAGGCACACATACACAATGTGGATGTCATTTTTGCATTTTAATTATAACTATATTAATAGTTCCAGTCATCTTGCTGTACAGACATATACAAATAGGAGAAAAAACATTTGTATTTACAACAAAATTAAGTTATTTTAATTAGGCTCTTTCTGTATATACACACACATAAAAAAACCAGCAAAACACAGGGTATTTCTACATTAGTCACATTTGATTTACAAACCAGTAAGAGGTTCAGTTTGGCAAGGTCATGCCATAGTGTAATATACACTAAGCAGCACCATATGAGTCCACAATACAAATAATAATAATAATAATAATAAAAAGTTAATGGTACCACAGAGACTTGCGCTGTACTCAGTGCCAATGGTATCAGGTGGATTAGTGGGGCTGGCAAGGTGCGGCAACACCCCCGGAACATCACCGCTCAAAAGACCCATGTCATGTGCAAAGTAAAATCCGCTTGGCATCGGTGCTTATTCTATTCAAGAGGTACCTTTACCGCAGCACTGAATACTGTCCTGCATTGTACACACATACGACCCAGTGTTCAGTGAAAATCCCATATGTAGGCCAGTGTTTGGCTGTTTCTCCAGGACATTCTGGAAGGACATTGTAGAGCACTCCCTTCTATGGGAGTAAGTCAGCATCGCTCCTGTGTGACAGAGGCTGCTCCTGCCTAAAGGTCCCCCAGTGTGTAAACAAGTGAAATGAAGGAAAGCCGGGGTCAAACGATGCTGGCTAGCTCTGTGGAGTCCGACTCAGAGCTGCTGTTACTGCTCTCTTCCTCTCTGGGGAAGAAAGGAATGGAGAATTAAATCAAGATTAAAACAAAAAAAACCCACACACTCTTATGCTAAAGGCATCCCTGTTCTGAAACCTAAATAAATGACGTTTCCACAGTTTTCCATTACTCCCCTGGGCCAAAGAACACTTCACTCAGTTTGGTGGCTGGGCCAGCCATTTCATAAGGTGGATCTATGTTCCCAGCATAAAGACATTTGTATTGCAAATGTTTCCTTTGCTGGATTTGTTCCCTGTAACATGTACAAATTCTTCCATACTTTGTGTGAGATGCGCACAACACAGATACTCTGATCACCAGCAAGGCCTGGACGGTTTATAATCCAATTACCGTTCTTGCGATGGATCCTACTACTCCACCGAGCAAAGTTTATTTAAATATTTATGTCTCACCTTTCTCCTTTACAGAAATTAGAGAAGAATGCAGTAAACATACAGTAAGGCATACAACAAACAGCACCATAAAGCATAGTCCTCGTCTCTTTGTCGAAGTCTCCTCCTGAACAATTCCATAAGAAGGTAAGAGAAGCCATGTTGGATCAGGCCAATGGCCCATCCGGTCCAACACTTTGTGTCACAGAGTGGTCAAAACCCAGGCACCATCAGGAGGTCCACCAGCAGGGCGAGAACTCTGGAAGCCCTCCCACTGTTGCCCCCCCAAGCACTGCCCCAGACATAGCTCCATATATACCTTATGGCTAATAGCCACTGATAGACCTCTGCTCCATATGTTTATTTAATCTCCTGTCTACGCTTATAGCCACCACAACTTCTTGCAGGAGTGAATTCTACATGTTAATTACCCACTGGGTGAAGAAGTACTTCCTTTTATCTGTTCAACGCTTGCTGCTCATTAATTTCATTGGGTGCTCTTGTATTGTCAGAAAGGGAGGAAAGTCCTTCTTCCTCAACCTTCTCTATCCCATGCATAGTTTTGTAAACCTCTTATCATGTCACCTCTCAATTTCTCCAAGCTGAAGAGCCCTACCCTCTTTAACCTTTCTTCATAGGGAAGGTGTTCCATCCCCTTAATCATTTCAGTTGCCCTTTCTGCACCTTTTCCAAGGCTACAATTTTTTTTTTGAGGTGCGGTGACCAGAACTGTACACATTCCATTTTACTACAGCCAAATTCACATTGGAAACATGCCCTTCTGATCACATGCCATTTTTGAACTGGCAAGGCAACCTCCTTCAACTTCTGCCTCATCACAGAGGCTTTTGAAGTGACATCATTTCCCCAGTGATGGGATGGGCCCTCGCCAGGTAAGCCACTCTGATATTTTCCCATATCAGCTTCTCCTTGTCAGATTAGGAGTTCAGGGACCTACTGCTTATGTGCCAGGTACCCAGCTCTTTCAAGATTTTTTAAAAAAAGGATGCTGAAATGGTGCTTGCCAGGGAGGAAGCAAAGGAAGGCCAGCAGCACACTTCTGATATATGGCCAGGAGAGTGACAGGGTCTGGGCAAGGCAGTGAGGCCAGGGAACTATTAAAATTATTAGGGACCTAATTTGACATGCATTTTAGTGCATTCATTTGAATTTGCCTGTGGACTTGGGACAGATATTTATTCCCTATCTGAGCATTGTTGCACAATATTACAGGCAGGCACACACGACAGCTAAGGATTATCTTGCATGCATGGGGATTATCATTTCTTCTTTAAGACACTGTTAAGACTGACTGGTTACCTTTCTGTTGAGGCATTGTCAATTTTATTAGTGGATATAGCTATTTCCACCACTGACTTTTGGGAATTGTGTTCGTTCTGGTAGATCCACACTTGTTAATGTCCATTCTTGACAATAGGAAAAGTTGTACAGCCACCCAGACGCCAAAAAACAAAACCCGTGTAATATGTATGTATAACAAGGTATTACATGGATTTGGCTCTTGACAATAACGCTTAAATGGGGTGGTGTTCATTTTTATTTGCATTGACATGTGTCTGTCTTCCATGATATATTTGCTTGCTTCCTGGTATTTGCTGGAATTCATAGATGGAGTATGAAAAAAGGACCAGAAGTCAAAATAGGAAAGTACAGAAATGCTTGTGCTAACTTGGACAGGATTACTCAGCCTTTTATATTTAGCCTCCTTACATTTTTTCCAGACTGCCGCATCAGAGAAACTCGACACCCATTTGGCAATGTGTCATCAGATGCCAGCTGTATTTTCATCATTAAAATTAATGTGTCATGACGAGGAAGACCTCAGAAGCACCAGCTGTCCTTGCAGGATCTGAACCCCCACCAGACACAGGGACCTTAAAAACAGAGCACCGTGCGCGCGTGTGTGTGTTAGCTATGCTGCTGTCACGCTTAGAATGAAGCTTTAATGACAGTTGCCTGTTTTAGAACACAGCAGTAGGACAAGCCAGAATCCCAACCTGCTCATGACTGGATTCAGAGCTGAGTCCAGTAGCACTTTGTGAGACCTTACAATGATTAATGAACTGTCATAACAAGTTAGGACTCGGCAAGCAAAACAAAGCGTTACCAAAGAGGATCATTTTATGGAGGCATGTCATTACTTTTTGTTTGCAAGAAAACCCTCTAAATTGGGAAAAACCAAGCAAATATAAGACGAGATGTTTATTTTATTCATCTGCTGTCGTGGCAGCTGACTTATGGCAACCCTGCAGGGTTTTTCAAGGCAAGAGACGTTCAGAGGTGGTTTGCCATTGCCAGCCTCTGTGCGGTAACCTTGGAATTCCTCGGTGGTCTCTCACATAAATACTAAGCAGGGTAACCCTGCTTAGCTTTTGAGATCAGGTTAGCCGGGGCTATCCAGGTCAGGGCATGTGTACAAGGTTTTTTCCTGTTATAAAGTTTTTAAAAATGAAGTATATAAATACAATTGGTCTCATATCTTTAACACTGGGTGCTGAATTCTAGCTGCTTTGCCAGTCACCAGTCTTTTGACACCTTTCCTGTAAAGTAAAGGTAAAGGTTCCCTTGCTCGAAAGCCAGTCGAATACGACTCTATGGTTGCGGTGCTCATCTCCGTTTCAAAGCCGAAGAGCCAGCACTGTCCGAAGACGTTTCCGTGGTCATGTGGCCAGCATGACTAAACACCAAGGTGCACGGAACGCTGTTACCTTCCCACCGAAGTGGTACCTATTTAATCTACTTGCAATTTCTTGCTTTCGAACGGCTAGGTTGGCAGGAGCTGGAACTAGAGACGGGAGCTCACTCTGTCATGCGGCACACTCGGGTCTCAAACTGTTGAATTACTGTGGCAGGCCAGCACATTGCACAAAAGGTGCACAGAGACACAGAACCTGTGTTGATGGGTTCTGAACCAAATGCTCTGCTACATACAAACCATCAGTCCTTTACCTTCCTGTGGATTGGTAACTCATAGAACATGAGGCCCAGACAGGAGCCCTCAGAGAGCTGCCTTCCCCTGCTATTCTACAGCTTTGTACTTTCCAGTCCCTCTCCAGTTGCAAGTAAGGAGCTCACCTTAAATCCTGCAGGGCCTTCTTGTTTTTCCTTCGTCTCTCCTCATCAATGGGGTACAACTTGAAGAGAAGAAGGCCAAGAATGATCAACGCCACAGGGGCAGCTGAGACGAGCAGCTTCAGGGTCAAATTCACCCTCTCTGGCTGGCTGCAACCCCGGGTCTTGTATCCAGCAAAGCTGTGACATCAAAAAATATTGGTTTAGTCAGTAATGCAGCACCTCAAAATAAAAATATGGACCACTTTACCAAAATTGATCTTCAGTTTTTCCTATTTCTGGCTATAGCTCTATCACATGAAACAAGCCCCTCTTAGATAAGCAGCCAGGTTTTTTGTAGAAGATCAAGAAATCAACCTTCTGAGATGCTACTAGTTAGCCAAAGGGAATTCTCACAAAGGGCACCCTCACTGAGTGCCCCCCGTCCCCCCCAAAAAACATTGAGCTATGAAATTGATAACCATTGCTTTGCATATTATATGCCACACAAATCTGGGCTTTAAATAAAATATAAAAATGGTCTCTCTTTCTCCTTGTGACCCCCCCCACACACACTTCCAAATATAATCTCTTTTCGCAGTGGGAGCAAGGAGACTTGAAGCAAAGGGTTGCAAAGTTTGCAGACTACGTCTAGAACTGTGTGCCATGATAGCTAAATGAAGCTCTTAAGTCAGCAGAATTGGAGACTCCACTGAGATCTGAACACACATATGTTAGGGCCTAAGCACAACACATTCCACCCCCTCGGACCAGTCATCTAACTCACAGGTCAAGACCCACATGTGAATTGTGGAGTCCCTCCTTCTGGGTCACGAGCTGCCATTTTCTGGATGATTTCTTGGGAGGACCTGGTGCAAGTGTGTACACACAGAGAACAAGGGCACCGCGTCTCCTGTATCACCATGTACACACACAACAAGCAGGATGCTGAGGCACAATCCCTCAGTGGTGGAGAGGACTCAGCACAGGCAGGTTCAGATCCCCCCGCAAAAAAAACCCCTTTCCCCTAGTCTGGCCTGCCCTCACCACTTGGTGCTCCAATGCTCCATGCATGCTTGCATCATTAGAGCCCTCCTCACCAACTAGGTCACAACTCTGACCCCTCATTTTCCTGTCACATGACTATCATGTGCTAGCAGCTCAATGGGTCCCATGCTTCCATCTATGTATTAAAGATGACTCCCAGGCCTGGAAAGGTTGAAGACAACTACCACAGACCTCACTAGCTCTCATGCATCTACTAGAGACTCCCACCACTTGGCTTCCCATCTAGAATTTGATACCTTGTTGCTATAAAACCACCAAGCAAATCCTTGTGGTGCCTTAAAGACTAGCAGATTTGTGGCTCAATAAATCTGCCAGGCTTCAGGGTGCTACAAGACACTCTTCTGCTACCATCTTCCAAGAGAAGATGCCAACAATACTTCCCAAACACCAGGAGTAGACAGATGCTCATTCCAAAACTACTATAAAATGCCATCACCTGGCACAGAGAAAGAGGGACTTACTCTAAACTGAGGGTGGAGATCCCAAGAGACACTCCAGAGGCAAACTTGGTGAAGAAGACATAAAAGGAGAAGAAAATCGCTTCATGCCCAGCGGAATCTGGATGCTGAAGCTTGAAGTCATCTATGACATCTGGCAACATGGACCTGTGCAAAGATGAAGGGACTTAAGTCATCAGTCTTCCAAATTATAGGTGGGTGAATAAGTAATCAGTCTTCCAAATTATAGGTGGGTGAAACATGACCACTGGCTGGGAGAAATGTCAGTAATTGAAATCTCTTTGGATTGGGTGTAAAGAAAGCAAAATACACAGGAGTCACCAGGCAGACCTGAACGATGTGTATGGGATTCTGTGAAAACATTTCCACCCAAGAACATAAGAGCAGCCCTGCTGATCGGACACACAGCCCATACAGTCCAGCACCTTGTTTCCCACAGAGTTTTATTGCTTCCAAACATGGAAGCCATTGATGGGCCTATTTGGTATAGTGGTTAAGAGTGTGGACTCTAATCTGGAAGAACCAGGTTTGATTCCACACTCCTCCACATGCAGCTGCTGGTGTGACCTTGGGCCAGTCACAAGTTCTCCCAGAGCTGTTCTCTCAAGAGCAGTCCTCGAAAGAGCTCTCTCAGCCCCGCCTACCACACAAGGGTGTCTGTTGTGGGGAGGGGAAGACCTTTCTCTTCCTCAGGTCCTGGGCTCTCAGAACATAATTCCAGGCTAAATGGATCAATGAAAGTCTATTTTCCCCCAATTTCTCTTTAAGACAGTTCTTCACATAACACACAGTTAACCTGCAGAACTTGCAGCCGCAAGATACAGTGACATCTGCTACTTTATAGGGTTTTCAAAGCAGGTTAGACCAATTCATGAAGGATAGAAGAAGAGATTGGATTTATATCTCGCCCTTCACTACCTGAAGGGAGTTTCAGAGCGGCTTACAATCTCCTTCCCTTCCCCCTCATTCTTTACCAGAGATCCTTTTAGAGGTGATTAAACCGGGGACTTCCTCCATGCAGAATGCAAATGCTCCCATTGAGCCACGGCCCTTACATTTCATGACACACTTTAGAGTTCCACCATAAGATTATGAAGTGTCTGGAGAAGCCGGCTACCTGTTTTCAGCCCTGAAAGCATGAATCTCTAAGTAATTGTAACTACACTTACCATGGCAAAAGGAAGGCGGCAGCCACACTGATCCCAGCTGCGACAGCCACAATGTAGGTAACAGCAAGGTTACTTTTCATGAGTGCAACCAAGATAAGGAATGGTGTGGCTGACTGCAGAAGAAGAGATAATTGTTGTAGTACTTCATTTAAGAGCTTTACAGATATTTTTGTGTATCGATAACATTGCCCCTCGTAGGCAGCACACACGGAGCTTCTCATTTTCTTCCTAACAATGGCAAGTAAGAGATTCAAACATTGTGCTTCCCAATTAGGGTTCCCAACCTTGGGCTGGGAAATTCCTAGAGACCTAAAGGCAGAGCCTGGGGAGAAAAGGAACCTCAGGGGGTATAATGCCAATAAAGCAGCCATTTTCTGCAGGGAAACGTGATCTCTGTCAGCTGGAGATCCATTGTAATTCTGAGAGATCTCCAACCCCTACCTGGAGGTTGGCAACACTACACCCAATGACCAAATCATAGCTTATTATTTATTTATTAGTTTGATTTATATCCCGCCCTCCCAAAGGCTCAGGGGTACTTATCTCAGGGGTGGCCAAACTGCGGTTCAGGAGCCACATGTGGCTCTTTTATACACATTGTGTGGCTCCCGGCAGGGCAGCTGGGGAAGTGAAGGGGAGGCAGGCCTCCCCCAATCGGTCTTCCCTTTCCCAGCCAGTGTTCCCCTCCCTGGATAGGCTTGAGGTGAGGGGGGGGGGGTGGCAGAGAAAGAAAGAAACTAACTTTAAATATGTTCTCAAAGCCCCCTTAAATCCCTTCTCCAAGCCAAGCCAGCTGGTGTGGGGGCATTGGGTGTGTGTGTTGAAAAACACATTTAAAGTTAAAGCTGCATTCTTTCCACCTCTCTCTTCCTTCTTCCCTCCCCATTTATTTGCTTTCTTTCTTTTCTTCCCCCCTCTCTTTCTCTCTCTCTGGCAAATAAATATCATTAGCAAACAAATAAATATCATTGGACAAAACAATCATTATCAATATCTGTTTTTACCCCTTTCGTTTTTATTTTTTGGCAGTCTCATTTAATGTTAATATAAAGCAAATCTGTATGTTTTCAGTAAAAACATGTAATACTTGTTCATCTCTTGTGGCTCTCAGACATCTGACGTTTATTCTGTGTGGCTCTTATGTTAAGCAAGTTTGGCCACCCCTGGCTTATATTACCCCACGAGCTCATCCTAGCTCTCCCTACCACTACAAGTTCAAACAGGCCTGGCCCCTCTCTGAACAGCATCATGTCTGACTGCGTAGCCACAGCTTCTGCTTTCACCATTAACCGACTTCTATACCAGAGAGAGAGCTGCGGTGGCTCAAGTGGTTAAGACGCTGAACTACAGGCTGTGGAAGGTCGGTAGTTCAGCAGTTCGAGACCCGAGTGTGCCGCATGACGGAGTGAGGTCCCGTCTCTAGTTCCAGCTCCTGCCAACCTAGCAGTTTGAAAGCAAGAAACTGCAAGTAAATAAATAGGTACCACTTCGGTGGGAAGGTAACAGCGTTCCGTGCGCCTTGGTGTTTAGTCATGCCGGCCACATGATCACGGAAACGTCTACGGACAGTGCTGGCTCTTCGGCTTTGAAATGGAGATGAGCACCGCGACCCTAGAGTCGGACTCGACTGGCTTTCGAGCAAGGGAACCTTTACCTTTATACCAGAGAGTGAAGCCAGAAGGAGAAGCTGCAGCAATGAGCCACAATGACTGCTAAAGAAAGGAAGGGCAAATTTTCATTGCGTGAGAACAGGAGGGGCCTCACTGATTTGCCATTCAAGTACAGGCCCGTAGTTAGGATTTTTTAATTCAGGGGGGCCTTTAAATAAATCAGGGGGGACGGACCGATAGAATAAAAATAAAATAAAATAAACGTATGCTCGCCAATTGGAGCAGGCAGGATCAGGATTATTTCCATATTGCGGAGGATGGGTGTAAGGGAAGTCACTGACTCTAAGTAACCTGAGGAAGGTTCCCCCCGCCTCCTTTCCCCCTCAACCACATTGGCGGCATGGAGTGCAGGGGAACCAAGGTGAAAGTGGTGGGCTCCTGTTCAGTTCTTTATTTCTTTATTCCTGGCTGGCTTCGGGCTCCCACGGTGACTTTGCCTCCCACCTGCCACCCTGCTGGGGGGGGCTTTCTGCTGCAACACTTCTCAGACTCGGACGCGGCAGCCTGTCCAGGAAGACAAGCCAAAGGAGGAGAGGCGGGCAAGACGACGAGACAACTGCTCTGTTGCTGCTGGTGGCTTGTTTGTGCCTTGCGCTGGCATGGCCGGGCTGAACTCAGAAAGTGGGAGGTGAAGGAAGGAGCCGGGAAGAAAGGCTGAGGGAGTGCTGCGTTCCTCTCTCCCTTGGCGGCCAGCTTCCTCGGCAATGAGGGCACAGGCGCATGCAAGCGAGCAAGGTCTGCAATCTTGCGGTGGAGGGAGAAGGTGCACGGGGGAGGAATTTGTGTGTTCACAGGTTCAGCCCCAGGACCCACAGCTGGCCCCACCTCACCTGCCAGCCCACCTGCCACGCCACCGCAAGCTCAGGATGCACAGCCTGTCAGCCCCCCCTCACCTGCCGGCCTGCTCACCTGGCCGCCCCATACAGCTTTCTGCTGCGGCCGCCCCGTGCTACCAGCTCGGGACTCACAGCCCCTCCCCTCAACCACCAGCCCGGGGTGGAGCCTGCAGGGCTGCTGGCAGGCAGGGAAGTTGTGGGGCTTTGGCAGGAGGTCAGGGGGCTGGGCCCCGAAATGCCCCACCATACTTATGGGCCTGTTTAAGTATGACACCCCTAACCAAGGCCAGTGACTAACCAAGGCCATACACCACCAGGACCTCAAGACTTGTGTCCAAACAGTTTAGACACATTGGGTCAAGATATTATTACCGCGATAATTTTTTTAAACAGCCTAAACACGTGGTTGCCCTCCAAAGGCCAACTTAAATAATTCAGCCTTGCGCGTGCCCTGAGGAAACTAAACAAGTCCGGAAGGGTGAGAGAGGGTGTCATCCGAGACTGCATTCCACAGGGTAGAGGCCACAACTGAGAAGGCCCTTCCCCTGGTGACAGCTAACTGAGCCATGCTGGGGCCAGGCACCTGCAAGAGGCCCCTAGAGGATGACCGAAGGACATTTACATTGGGCATTGTCATTACACGAATTAGCCCTCACAGTCATGTCCTGGGGAAGATTTAAGGAGGCCAGTTTGCCTGCTTTGGTGGGCAACCTCCCAGCCTCACTGCCCTGCTGCATCTTGATAGTACAGTGGGAGGGGTCAGGAGGGGCAAAAGTGCATCCTGCGACACCATTTATGGCTGCACAGATGGAAGTGATACCATTACACTGCAAGACACTCTAGATTTTCCTGAAACACCGTGGTTACCATAGAGTTTTGAGGAACTCCTAGAGCATCCTATGATGTGGTGACAGAGCTTCCAGCTACAAGCGGTGCCATAGGGTGTTATCTGCATAAATCTCTGCCTCCCCAGTTTCTCGGGGGTGGCAACCCTAGGAAGGCAGGAGTGAAAGAGCCATACTTGGGCCCAGCAGTGCCCTGTCAGTCAACCACAGAAAAGCAACAGCAGCAAGGAGCAGATAGGAACAGGACAAATGGTGCACTGCCAATGAGACTCAGAACAATTACAGAAAATACCCTCGAAAGGCTCTTTCATTCATAGCTTCACACTGTTCAATTCTTGCTCTTAGTAGCTTTGCCAAGATCTACCCCAGCTTATTTAGAAGCTGCCCAGCAGGCCGTCAAAGCTGCTGTTTTCTCATTGTTATTGGCCTGGCAGCACCAAGCAAAACGTTTCAGACCCCCTCTGCCCATTACAGCTCCTCGTAATGCTTGGCACGAGTTCCATAAGCCCTCTTTACACCATCCCCTCCTCTCTGGATTGTGTTTACTCACTGAGATTCCAATATAGACCGCTGTTTTCTTTCCAAAGCGAGTAAGAAACCACTGCCAGAAGGGGATGGTCAGAGTGGCAGAGAGCTGCAAGACAGCAGAAAGGAGGAGAAAATGAGAAGAGCCATTACTACATGCATCAGCCACACGGCATCCACTGCAGCAACCCTTCTGATGGAGCGTAGGGCAACCTGCCACGTTGCCTATGTGAGATCAAACTCTTCCGTCTTCACACCAAGTTAATCTGAAGTAGCAGCTGCCAGTCCTCAGTCCCAGTCAGGCACACGTTGAAGGAGTGTGGGAAATGCTTTATTGTCACAGCAACCCTAACCAGGGATCAAAGCGTGCACAGTCACTGTGTCCTATTATTTCATCCATAATGTCAGGGTCAGAGACCACCTGTGAACCACCGACTGTTCAGTCCACAGGCTGCCTGTTCACCAGCTCCTACACTAGCTTCTTGTCACCTTCCACACCCAGCATCCATGCGTTAGTCAGTTTATTATCGCGGTCTTGAGGCCAACGTACAGAGTAAGTATAAAACAGTCATAATATACAAAATACAAAAAACAGAAATCTGAATGTAAGAACTTTTAAAATGCGATTCATCCATGCATTATCTTTGATCCACTTTGAGGGCCTGCCTTTACTTCCCAAAATACTCTCGGCTGGCAGCTCCCCCAGCTCTACCATGCTCAAGCAGCTCAACTTGGTATTCCTCACCAATTCCTCCCTCTAAGCTGTGGAGTCTTGTGAGCAAAAAATCAGCTTTTTGAGCTACTGGCATTAAAGTTGTGAGCGAGCGACTTGGCTACTGTGTAAATCAGTTTGCTTTGGAGCCATCCTTTCTGAGCGAAGACAAAAATGGGTGAGCCGGAGGCTAAAAAACTGTGAGCTAGCTCACACTAACTCAGCTTAGAGGGAACATTGTAATCCTCACTACCTCTTTTACCTTGAATTTTACCTGAAGGGACCGCCTTTCCCCATATGTCCCCCAGAGAGCACTGCATTCAGGGGCCCAGAACCGACTGGCTCTCCTGAGCTGTAAGGAGGCCAGGCTGTCGACAACCAGGGCCAGGGCTTTTTCAGTGGTGGCTCCGCTCTGGTGGAATGAGCTCCCAGTAGAGATCAGGGCCCTGCAGGACCTTTTACAATTCCGCAGGGCCTGTAAAACGGAGCTCTTCCATCAGGACTTGGGAGCCGCCACCAACGCCAAATATCATCAATAGCTAACAGTAGGAGAATAGAGAGCCCCGTGCCCCTGGAATTTTAACAACGGTGCCAGTGTTAATCGCTTCTACGCTATCCGAAGGAGATCTGAGAGCCGATCATCTGGAGAGAGAACTGAGTAAGGCTGCCATTGTTAAAGCAACAACAACCAAGGACAACAATGCCATCACTTCATGCCTTTATGCCATCACTTTATGCCATCAATTGGGTGCAGTACTGTTTTAATGTGTTTTAATCGTTTTATTGTAATTTATGTATTGTTTTATGTAAGCCACCCTGAACCAGCCTCGGCTGGGAGGGCAGGGTAAAAATCTAATGCCCTCCCAGAGGAGGACCCCCCCCCAAGCTTTCAAATCCCACCTTTAAACCCAGCAATCCCGTACCATCTTTGGTTTCACCCCTCAGTCCCATTTCCTTCTGAAGTCCAAAAGCTGGGCAGCACTCATTTCCCATTCCCTCCTTCCTGTGTGTTGTGACCTGTCCCACAAGAGGTTTATATCATATGTGGGGGGAGGGGCTTATGAAAAATGACCCAGCACACCATCAGCTACATATAAAACGCTTCTGAGGCAATCTGATATTTTTCTGTTTAACTTGGGAGAATTTTTCCTTCCATTTTTTTTCTTCCCAGCCACTCTGGTACCTCTTCCACCAAGAAATGGAAACCTTGAGAAGTGACTGCCAGTGTTGTAGCTTCAAAATGAAGCATCAGCTTCTCCGTTCTGACTTGGCAAACCTCAAGTCCTCACCCCACCCTTTCAGAGCAGCAGCTTGGACCACACCCATTTGTAAAGCAAATCAGGAATTTGCTCCAGCCATGTCGAAATTCTTCCCTCCATTCCCACCCATCTGGAATGGAGAGAGGGCCCCCCTCCTTTATGTGCTAAAAGACTGGAAAGAGTTCCAGCTCCACTGCAAAGACAGAAACTGGGGGTATAGTTTTCTCCACTGTCCACAAGACATATTTCACAGTCCCTACAGAACACACAAAAAGGCAATGGCCAGTACCAGCAGCCTGGATCCTTGCCTGGGGAAATCTGAATAACCCACAGAGCCTTTCCCACCCTCCCCTGAGCTCCAGCCCATTAGAAGCAGCAGAGAGATAGCCAAAGCAAAGGGTTATTTGAGCTTTTCTGCCTGATCTCCTTTACAGTGGAAGTGCCAAGAACTAAACCTTGGAGAGTTCTGCATGGAATGTGCATGTCCCAGCCTCTTGCTGAGAATGATAATAAGGTATCATCAATTTCACCTTCATACAGCCTTTGCAAATTGCACATGGCTATTTTTAAACTTCTGTTTCAGTCCAGGAGACTTGTACATCTCTTGCAGCAACTTCCATGCACAATGCATGCCAACAAACACTTTTTTGCCAGATATTCAGCTACAGAAACTCTCCTTTCAAAGTCACCCCCCAAGTTCAAAATCACTCAGCAGTAGCCATCTCCCAGTGCCCTCTAGACCAGTGATGGCGAACCTTTTAGAGACCAAAACCCACTTATTTATCGCAAAGTGCCAACACAGCAATTTAACCTGAATACGGAGGTTTTACTTTAGAAAAAACAACTCATACATTAACTTAAGATGATCCAAACAAAGTAAGGAAAGCCATCCCAAATGCTTTCATTTACTTAAAATTATTTGGCAGAGAATTCGACACTTTAATGATGGTTTGGGCCTGGCTGGGGCGATGGCACGTGTGCCCACAGAGAGGGCTCTGAGTGCCACCTCTGGCACCCGTGCCAAAGGTTCGCCACCACTGCTCTAGACTGAGCCATTCCCCACATTACAGCAAAGCAGGTGGTAGACAGATGGTAAACATTTGGACCACAACATGGCTAATTGTGGGCGGGATGTATATATTGCAAGCTCTTGCACATAAATAAAATGTACCCTCATGTGGTAAACATCTCATCAGGGAAAACGCTACCTTTCCCCTGATAAACTAGTTTTCTAAATGCTGGAAAGGCCATGGCGCTACCACATGATGGTCTTAAAATCCCTCCCAAACTGCAACCTGAAACAGTATTCAGATCCACAACTCTGTGTTCTCATTCCGCCACACAGCAGACAGAAGCCACAGCTTTCAAGTTAGCCTCTCCCTGATGTCCATCTGACAGTCTGCAAACCAGGACTGATGTTTTGAGGAAGGTGGCAGTCAAAGCGAGAGAACAGAAAGGAGATGGAAAGTCAACTCACTTCCATTCAAAGAACTGTTCCTACCCCCAAATAGACTGTTACAAGCATGCACAAGCCGCTGTGGAGGAATAATGGAAACAGGGCAGCAGACTGTTTGGAATGACAGCTAGCTGAACAGTTGTAGGATGGGTATAGGAAGAGACCTTGCAATACCTGAACGATGCATGGTGGATCACTCTCCATGGCCTTTGCGTGTGGCCCCCTTAAGGTCAACTGGCATGTGTGCAGGCAGTGCAGGAAGGTCAATTTTGCATTCCCAAGCAGGAGAAAGTTGCTGCTGCCCCTGAATTACTGTGTGTGTGGTCTCCCAGCACACAGTTTTCTCATGTTAATTTTGGCTCAATCAGCAGATCCATCTGTTTCCCCTCCTCTGCTAAAGCAGGTTAGGACTGGGCATTTGCAACAAGTGCTGGGTCTCAGGAAGCATCTCTTGTAAGTTTTTAGGCTACAAGACATTATCTTTTATGCTACAGGGGACTTTGAGGAAGAAAGGAACCCAACTTTGGAATTTTTAAACCTGAGCCCATTCTGGATTGGGATCATCTTGAAGCTGCTTCCATACAGAAGTTTGCACAGAAAAGTAAGCAAACCCCAGGTGGTCATCTTCGCTCTTTGGTAACTTGGTTGAGCTCTCCTCCCAAGTAGAAAGGATAATTTTATCACATGTAGCAGAGCATACAACCCTGCCCAAGAATTATGGGAGAATGAGGGAACAGGCAATTTATTTATTTCATTTATAGTCAGACACTCTAACCACAACACAGGAGCCTAGCAGGCCTTTCAAAGACCATGGCACATGCCACAGTTGACTCCCGTGTAAGAATGAATTAACAGAGTCACAGGCTTTCTTTTCCTAAGGATCATGGGTTCAGTTTCAGCCTCAATCGCTCTCAAGAGCCTTAGATGTAGGGAGTGTCAGTCCACCCCACACGCAATGGGCTCTCTGCCTTGGCAAAGCATTTAAAAACACAATGCTCCCCTCTCCACTGCCTGCCCCCATCCATCTATTAGCTTGCAAAGACTTTCCCCAGACAAATCGGCTCCATTCTTTTTATTCAGTGTCTCTCTCTGATAAACACTCAAGCCTCTTTCTTCTCATGGTTAAGGGTAAAAAAATGGCAGCATTTAGACAGAAAGGACTTGCCTGTTCGTTATCCTTCACCCCTTTTCATAGCCAGCTTCAAGCATGAAGAAAGGATGCAGTGTTCTCAACAAAGCTGCATCGTTTCAGGAAACAGGTTAAGGAAAAGCTCTTTCCTGCTAAGGTTACGCATCTTTCAGGTCAGCACAAAAACTTCCATTGCAGTTCTTCAAAAAGGACATACCTAACTTCTCTGTTTATCCTTATGGCTGTATTTGCACTTGCAGTTTACTGTCAACTAACTGTTTGGAAAGTACCTCTGGCCAGGAGCCGGTTGGCCCCGGAGCACACTGGAGCGTCACTCCGGGAATGAAGGGCCCGGGGGGGGCACACATGATCAAGCCCTGCCCCCTGCTCCAACAGCCCTCAGTTGGCCACAAGGGAGGCAGAAGGACAGTAAGTTGCTGCCTGCAGAAAGACCTGCAAAGGCCGGGCGCCCCCCCCTCCTCCGCCGCCTCTCTTGGGCCCTGTGCTGGAGCACCGGGCCTGAGAAAGGCCAGCAAAGGCCGGGCGCCCCCCTTCCCGCTGCTTCTTTCGGGCCCTGGGATTGTTTTTGGCTGGCTGGCGGGGACTGTTTCTTGGGGGGTGGGGGGAGTGGCCGTGAGCGCCCGGGCTGCAGGCTGCTCGGGGGCTTCGGCGCAGGCTGGCCGGGAATGTTTCTTGGGTGGTGGAGGGTGGTCTCCAGAAGGCTGGGAAGGAGAGAGAAGCGAGCTCACTGCCTCTGCCTGCCCCATGCCCGGCTCGCCCGCCACTTGCTAGCTGCTGCGTGCCCCCTGGCGCTGCTGCTGCTCCTCAATGGCGCTCCTGGCGATGTGGTGGGGCAACGCTTCCGCCAACCCCAGCCCCGCTGCAGGATGAGGCGGACAACCAGGAGAACATCCTCTCCCAGGTATGGGAGTAGCAAGCCTCCAGAAGGCTGGGAAGGAGAGAGGCAAGCTCACTGCCTCCGCCTGCCCCATGCCCGGCTCACCCGCCGCCACTGCTGCTCGGTGGCGCTCCTATTTCTAGATGCCTACATGGTTGTTCAAGTTGCCCCCGGCCGGAGGTGCGACTCCGAGGCTCTCTTGGCTCTGGCTGGAGCGCCGAAGGCTCCTGCTCAGTAGCATCAGTTTCCCTGCCTGTCCAGCCCTTTCGCGGCTCTCCTGGCTTTCCCTCCTCCCCACCCTCCTCGATCTGCCTCTTGGCTCTCTGCCTCGGTTTTGATGCAGGTTGTGGCGCCCTCCCTCCAGAGCCCATTCATTCTCTTCTTCCCGTGTCTCCCGCACCCTTTGCGCCTCTCTTCTCGCCCGCTGCCAGTTTGGCTCTTTCTTGTCATCCATTCCAGACCGCCTGGGGAATTTTCTGAGCCAGAAAGCAAACAAAAATAACGTTTAAAAAACCCACTTGAGGAAGAGAATGCAACTCTATCCCACCCCATTCCACGTCGCTACTGGGAATGCAACATCAGCCCTGCCAATGTCTCACTAACGCAGGCGGTAGAAGAAAGACGGGTTATAAATGTAAATAAATAAATAAATAAATAAATAAATAATCGCTCGTGTTTGTTGCTGGCTTCGGCCAGATCTGGAGTGGGACAACTGAAGCAAAGAGCCTTTCCTTTGAAAGCGGCAGAAAACACTTTC